CAGCCTTTCTTTTTAATAACATTCTGCGTGTGTGCTCTAGGAACAAGATTGAAATCGATTACTTCATTTGAGGTTTCCTATAACAGACTTTAAATTGCAGTTGGAGTTTTAAATTGGTTTGATCCAGAGTGGTCTGTTTTTGTGGATGCTGTTTGAGGTTGCAAAAAGCCTCACTTTCTAATGTGAGATTGGGCAGGTTTTCCTTGTTAGTGCACGTTTCCCAGGGCTGTCTGTGGGTGCCTCTATCGCTGATGCCATCGGCGATGGTGCTTGGCTGGCAGCCACAGCTCGCAGGGAGGAAACCCCACAGCCGTTATTGTGCACAGAGCAGCATGAAATGAAGCTTTCAAATGTTTTCATGCCCTTTCCTTGCCTGTGCCAACCCTCATCTCCTGTTCTTGTGTTGCTGTTTTTGCTTAGTGCCTCTTTACAAAGGACCTGCAGGCTCTCTGGTTCTCTGCATTCCCATGCCCTGAGGTTCTGTCTAGCAAGTGTTGTATGAGCTGCAGGGTGGTGGGATGAGCTGTGACAGGGTTAAGGGTCCCAGGAGTTGGATCCTTGTGAGTCCCTTCCAGCTGTGGATATTCTGTGATTTATTCCATGCCCCTCACTGACAGAGCCTCCGTGTCTCTCCCACAGCCTCTCCATACAACCGCTGCAAGGGCAGCATCTACCTTGTGTTTGACTTCTGTGAGCATGACCTGGCCGGCCTCCTCAGCAACGCCCATGTCAAGTTCACGCTCTCAGAGATCAAGAAAGTTATGCAGATGCTGCTGAATGGACTTTACTACATCCACAGGAACAAGGTAATGGGCCAGATCCGTGCTGTGCTCAGAGGCCACCCTGCTCTTTGTGGCTTTCCAAGTAGCAGATGTCTGAGCACAGGCTGGAGGGAAATCCTTGTATTTCATCTCTTCAGTCTGAGCATCCTGCCGGCAGCAGGCACCCAAGGAGGGCACTCTGATGCCTTAACCCTTCAATGTCTGTCCTTGTACAGATCTTGCACCGAGACATGAAAGCTGCGAACGTCCTGATCACGCGGGACGGAGTCCTGAAGCTGGCGGACTTTGGGCTGGCTCGAGCCTTCAGCCTGGCCAAGAACAGCCAGCCCAACCGCTACACCAACCGGGTGGTGACCCTGTGGTACCGGCCTCCCGAGCTGCTCCTAGGTAGGAGGTGGTGGGCTCTGCTGGCTTCTCATCCCTCCTCGTCCCTCTGGGAGACTAACTCGGCATCTCCGTTTAGGGGAGCGGGACTATGGTCCCCCCATTGACCTCTGGGGCGCAGGCTGCATCATGGCAGAGATGTGGACCCGCAGCCCCATCATGCAGGGCAACACGGAGCAGCACCAGCTCACCCTCATCAGCCAGCTCTGCGGATCCATCACCCCAGAGGTGAGGGCCGGAGCAGGGATGTGGTGTGGAGAGCGGGAGGAGTGTGAGCAGGGTGTGGGGCCAGGCACTCCTGGGCTCTTCCCTGCCCTGAGCGCTGGCTGCTGTGTGCTCCCAGCAGCACTGGAAGGTGCCTGCAGCTGGTAGGGAGGCTGGAGAGTCTTTTAGGCTTCTGTGTTTGGGGGTTGTCTCTCAGACAAACACACTCAATTTCTGCTTAAAGAAGGGTGGGGATTTTTTTCTGTTGAGAGGTTTGTCTCTGGTATTTTGCACTGGTCACCTTGAAAAGCCTCTTGAATTCTGGCTTGTGATTTGTGGTATCATCTCAGCCTTGGGGTGAGCGCTGGGCCCGGTCCTTTCTCAGCTCCTCCTTTATCAGCAGCTCGTCCTGCCCTCTTGTGGGGAGCGAGCTGAGGGATCCCAGCCCGGGCTGGGATCTGCGGAATGTTGTGCCGGCAGCTGCAGAGTCCTGACCCTGCAGTCACATTCATTATGTACATACATTGAAGGCGATTTCTTTGCCACCTGCTGTGTTCTCTGCCAGATCAGGGTTGAGATAAATGCTAGTGATTGCAGCTTTGCTTTCTAAGGATAAAAGGTGCCACATCCGGGTGATTGTGTAGCAATCAGTTTTGTCACCTTATCTTTCTGTCTGTGGTAGCCATGCTCTCTAGTAGTTGTTTTGTGGGAGAGCCAGAAATCCTGGAGCATCTTGCATGCTGTTTCCACACCAGAAGGCCCTGTCCTGACTTGTCCACATGTCTCCAGGCGTTGGAGCACCCTTTAATGCCTCCTTGTTGCTGTGGGAACAAGGTCTGCTGGCTTGGAAGTTATAAAATAGAGTTGTTATTTCAGACCTCACCCTGGTTTGCCTGAGGGTGTTTGAATAAAAAATGGCTTGTGCTTTCGGTAATTATTTCTTGTCAACCCCCTTTCCTGCCCCTTCCCAGGTGTGGCCCAACGTGGATAAGTACGAGCTGTACGAGAAGCTGGACCTGCCCAAGGGGCAGAAGCGGAAGGTGAAGGACCGGCTCAAGGCCTACGTCAAGGACCCCTATGCCCTCGACCTCATCGACAAGCTGCTGGTGCTGGACCCCGCCCAGCGCATCGACAGCGACGACGCGCTGAACCACGACTTCTTCTGGTCGGACCCCATGCCCTCGGACCTCAAAAACATGCTGTCCACCCACAACCAGTCCATGTTCGAGTACCTGGCCCCGCCGCGCAGGAGGGGTGGGCACATGCCCCAGCAGCCGGCGAACCAAGGCAGGAACCCGACGGCCACCAACCAGACTGAGTTTGACAGGGTGTTTTGACACCCAGCAAGGCCCTGGCTGGGCTTCTCTGGGATGTCCCAGCGAGGTCTTTTTGTCTAGGAAAGGACTTTTTTCAAGGTGAAGTGACTGATGGCGTTGGCAGAGCTCAGCCGTCTCCTCTCAGCCACGGCGGAGCTGCGTGACTGGGGAGGTGGCACCTGTGAGTTCCACGGTGTTTCCCTGCAGTTTTGCCTCAGAACCTGTGTTCCCCACCCTCTGCAACTGTCTGTATTGGTTACATTAAACTTGCAGATCAATTGTCATGGATCTGGTGATGGATAAAGAGTCTCTGTCCATGCTGGGGCTCTTGGCAAATGGTGCTGGGACCAGCAAGGCTGGGATTAGCTGCCCTGGACTAAGCTGGGCCCTGCTTGGAGATCTCAGCTTTCTTGATTGGTTGTAGCTCCTGCATGGAGTAACTTTTGAGCACTGAAGCGTTGATGTAGGATGAGGCAGGTGCTTCTGAGTCATCAGAGGTGTCCTGGGGAAGGCAGTCGCTCTAGACAGCATGACTTGCTCTCACTGCAGGCTGGGATCTAGCCTGGAAAGGGGCTTACTTGGAAAACCAAGGGGGTGGCTGGCAGAGCTGAGTGCTCCATATAGCCTGGATTTGCAGTGGGAATCATTGATCTCTGTAACAGCATGTGGCATCCATGCTTTCTTCATTGTAAATCACAGTCGGGAGTCCTGGGGGACACACCCACCCTGATTCCCTGCAGCCCTGGCTGGGCAGGAGTTGGGATGGGGGAGGGAGTTGTGAGTGCTGACCTGGCCTGAGGTGAGACCTGCCATCCTACTGGAATTGCCTGTGCACACACTGATCACCCGTGCACACCTTATGCCAGAGCTTGGTTGCTTCCAACTCATCCAGAGCCAGTGCTCCTCCACAGTGCTCCCTGCAGTGTCTCCCATGGCTGTGAGCTGTAGCGGGCCACCTTCTTGCTGAGCTCCAGGGATCCCTAGACTCAATGTGTGTGATGTGCCACGAGTGACAACGTTTGGCACTTGTTAACTTGTCTGTTAAAAAAAGCCACGCGGGTAGCATAAGACCTCAGGATAAAAAGTGTGGATAATAGAAGACTTGTACAAGGTAACTCCGTCTCGGCTCTGGGCTCTGAAACAGTGTCTGGTTGGGGGGGATTTGTTTCTTTGGAAAGGCAAGTTGGTTGCAAGCAATAAGCCAGTTGATTTGTGTCGTTGTGGATAAACACTGTCCTGTCCCAAACAGCTGTTTTGAAGCTCGTGTTGCTCTGCTGTCCATCCGGAGACAGCAGCGGGAGTGCTGCACGACAGCCCCTGTTACTGCCGAGGACAGATGCAGGGTCGGACACCCTGAAACCCCTGCCCTGCCCCTGCGGTACTGGGGGGGGTCAGCGCAGGCAGCGCTGCAGAGGATTAAC